GCAGCGCGCCGTGTCGACCGCGTCTGCTGGGCGCACAGCGTCACTTGCGCCTCTTCCAGCCGTGGCCGATCCCTCACGCCAGCCAGCCCAGCGTGGCCCCTTGCGCGTCCTAAAGACCGCGAGGCGTTCGGTGACGGGAACCTCATCGCTGCACGCAACGCTTTCCGCCACACGCAAATCCCTCGTGTCCCAAAGACGCCACGCCTCACCTGCGCGCTGAAGCAAGCACGTTTCGTAAGGCGCCTTCTCGACCGCCACGGTCCCAAGGTCCTTCTGCGCAGGGCGCCTACCCCACACAGACGCGTAACCACCTGGCGCCTCCCACCAGCTGTCGACGCTTGGAAGGTGGTCCAAGCAAGTAAGCACTCCAGGCTCCTCAACAGGGCGCCCAGCCGGGCCGCTCCCGCCCCACACCGAAGCGAGAACAGTCACCGCAGCAAGGACCGATAGCACACCGATCCTGGCGCCGGTACGCAGCCGCCCAAAGGACCGCGCACACGAGGAACAACCTTGGAAGCTTCTTGCCGCGGCCCTGGACGCGGACCCGCAAGCAAAGCACGGGTCATGGTCAACCGAAGCAACGGCGACCCCACAATCCGCACATGCCTGCGGAGACGGCTCCGACTCGAACACCGTCTCAATCGCGCCACAACCACAAGCCGCAGTGCTGACGAGGCCGGAACGCACTTCCGCAACAACCTCGCCCGGCTGGAGAGAGTGATCACACTCTTGGGCTGCAAGCAAAACAAACCCTTTACCCTCTCCTGTGGGCCAGAGACCTGGCACAGCCTCAACCCCACACTCAACCGGAAGCACAACCTCGGACAGGGATCCCTCTGCGGAGACTCCTGCCTCCCGCACGACTGGCACCAGCACCCCATCACCTGGCGAGAGCTCGAGCGGCTCTTCCCCGTCATAGCGGAGAAGCTCACGACTTCCGCCCCCAGGCTCGGTGCATGACGCGTCGTCCAGGCTTGACAACCGCGCTTCAAAGGCATAGGCCCTGTCCTTCCGAGTCCTGCTGTGATCCTCACATCTGGGCATCCTGATTCCCAGCGTGTCGAGGACATGAAAGTCTGGACCCGGCCTGAATCCCAAGGTGGACCCACTTTTCGAGTCTCACGACCGGGAAGCCGGGATCCTCAGTGCCGATCCCCAGCTCTGCAGCCCGGTTCATCATGCCCACCACGAGTTCCTCGGTCACGTGGTTTGCGCCGGCGCAACCGTCGAGCATGCACTCGACCTTACGGTCGAGGACCTGGACCACCGTCCTGTACTGGTAGCCTCCTGGCTCGTTGTCCGCCAGGTTCCACCAGTCCTTCGGCAGATCGTCCAGGGTGGCGAACTTGTCCCGCCCGCCCTTGCTTAACGGAAGCGCGTGCTGCTGCACCGCGGCGTGTCCTGCGGCTCCTAAGACGCCTGCCTGGACGCCTGAGCTGCCTATCTGGACACTGAACGCGGCGAAGGGGTTAGACATGGAAGCACCGGAGGGCGGGGCCCAGTTGGCAGGCAAGGCCGGCGTCCCTCCTGAGGTCGTCAGGTTGTGGACCATGTCGCAGCTGGCTCCTTTCTTGCACGACCCATTCTTGGAGAAAAAGGGGCAAACAGTGCCTGGTGGCTTCGCCGCGCCTTTGGCCGCAGCCTTAGGCTTTGCGTTGGCCTTTGCCTTGCCACCTCCCTTCCCCTTGCCTTTACCTTTCGCAGTGGCAAAGGTTTGGTCACCCTTCTTGGCCGCGAGAGCCTTTCTGCGAAGCTCCTTGTCGTGGCTGTACGGGCAGGCATCCCCTTTCGGGCAATTCCCATGATCGCGAAAGTGGAAGCAGATCTTCTTGTCCGCTCCTTTGCCAGCTCCCTTCGACGCAGCGGCAAACGTCTGGTCCGCGCCAGCCTTGGCCGCGGCAGCTGCTCCTTTCGCAGCAGCCTTCGCAGCAGCCTTGAGACTCTTAATCTCCTTCTGAGCCTCGGCTAGCGCGACCGCCGGGTCCGCGCTCTGCGAACCGGTCGCTGTGTACACAGAGTGGGAAACAGCCCTGTGAGCTGCTTCCCTCTGCTCGTACTCCAGAACGACCTTGTGGCTCTCCTCCCAAGTCTGCGGTCCTCGCAACCCGCCATCCTTGGGATCGCCAGGCCACAACCGTTTGTCGTTCCGGATCTCCTTTTGGAGATACGGGGGCATCTTGCGGAGGTACGAGAGATACAACTCTCGTGGGGTCTTCCCAAGACCTACCGCCTCAAGGTCCGCGATCGAGGCCTCAAACAAAGGCTCGAATTGGTGGCCTGTGAGCTTACCCTTAGCGAGAGAGGCATGCTCACCATCCACGCGGACTTCTCTTTCCTCCCGCGATTCCCCGAACATCAAGTGCTTGTTCTTGATGCGGTCGTACACCGCCTGTGGATCGGAGAGAACCTCTCCCGACTTCCACGCTGCGCGGTACGCGTTCGTGTACGTCTTCATGCGCGAGCCGCGGCAGCGCCCGCGTAGCGCTAACAGCTTCTCGCGCGCACTCATACCGCGACAGTTGTTGGCCAGCGCGCAGACGTCCTCGAACTCCTCGTAGAACAGGACAACGTCTCGCGCGTCCGACTTGTCGTCGGTCAGCGTCGGCCACGTGAGGTCAGTTTTGACCGTAGTTATGGAGCTTTGCCCGCCCCTCTGCGCTAACGCTTCTTTCAGCGCTTCAGTTTGGGCGGCGAGTGCGGCGGCGAAATCGCCCGCCGGGTGTTGGGACCCGGTCTGCGAACCTCCGCCGTCTGAACCTCGCTTCAGGGCTTCTATCTCCATCTCCAGCGCAGCAAGCTTCGCGCGCAAAGGGGAATCGCCGTCCGTCGCGCCCAGGACACGGGCCGCGGAAGGACCACCTGCAACCTCGGCAGTGTGCAAACCTCCACGGTCCAATCCTACCCCCAACCCACTTGCAGTCGCAGGCTGTGGGAGCCCTGGGGAACGCGGCCCCACGGCTTCAACTGGCACATCGGACGGGGAGCTCCAAACCTTCTCTTGGCTCGAGCTTTCTTTTCCCCCCAACGCGAGGATAAGCTCCCCGATGCATTGGATTTCGCGCTGAATCTCCTCTGCGTCCTCGGGGTCCTCGCCACCGCGCAAAGCCGCGACCGAGAACCTGGTCCGCAGCCGACGGACCATCTTCGTCGGATGCCAGTCCCCGCCTATCTTGGCGAACTCATCCGCAAGGAGGGTGGCTTTGGTGCTTAAGGCGTCAAGGTCACGGGAGCTCACCGTGACTCCATGCGCTTTCAGCGCGAGGACAATCCGTGAAACGCGCGTCAAGTAGTCCGCGACCGGTTCTTGGTCTGGACGGAAAATCGCGCGCAGCTCCGCCTGCAAGCCCTCTGCGGTGCCTGGGACTGAACCTGCTGTCGACGGCGGACCGGACGGTCCCGCCGGGCGGGACCCTGGCGCCGTAGCAGGGACATAGGCAGCACCGGTAGGGACCATGGCCAGCTCCCTAGCCGCGGCGCTGACGTCCACCCGCGGCGGACTGTCGCCTCCAGCGCCCGAGGCCTCAGGGACTAGCTCGGAGTCCTCTTCTTCTTCCTCTTCATCCTCGTCCTCGTCTTCGGCGTCATGGAGGAACTTCATGACTTTCCGCCAGAGAGCCGCCTCTTGCTCTGGCGTAGTGCTGACCCCATCCCGCTTGGACAACGGACGGCTGCCAGTCTCCCTACGCCACTTAAGCCAAGCGACGTAGCTCATCCGCTCGGGATAGGGAACGTCTCCACCCTCGATAGCTTCGAGGAGGGTGACGCCCTCAGCCTGACCTGCAACCTCTGCGGACATTGCCGCAACACAAGGCGAAAAGCCGCGCCTTGGTTAGCAGGCCGCAAGCGTGGCACACAGTCCACGCGTCCAGGTCACGGACCGCGACAGACAAGCAAAGCAATGCTTGCCCACTCGGGCCGTAGGCACAAGAGCTGTACGATTTCCCAGAACAGCCCCCAATTGAGAAGTCGACCAGCACTGGACTTGCACTAAGCCAATGCAATCACAGCCCGGTCACGCTGTTTTACGACTTCGCGAGTTCAAGCACTTGTGCAGCTACGCCTGAGTGCGTCCGGTCGGACCGCACAGCAACCTAAGAGCTACTGTACGACTCTACCGTGCTCAAAGGCACAAGCTCGGTACTTGAGCCAAAATATTGGCATTGTTACGAATTGCAAAACTACACATGCAAGGGAAAACAACAAGCTGCACTAGCACTAAGCAAGCACTCCATGCATGCTTTGACCTGCTCACAATATATGTATATATGTATATATGTATATGCGTTTGAGCTGTTGAATACGAGGGGTTAGGGGGCAGAGGGGGTAGGGGCTAGAAGGTAGGGTAGGGGTTAGAAGGGAGGGGGGTAGGTGAAAGGGGGGGTGTGCGGACGACGAAGCTCGCCAAGCACCCCTGATCGATGGCACTCTGATGGATGGTGGCACGGCTCGGTTTGGGGTCTCGGTTTTAGGGAACCCTAAACCCTAAACCCTAACTGTTGAAATGCAGATTGATCTGTCTGCTGATGGCCCATGGAACCAGCCCCCTGCATGAACTCCATGGCTTCGAATTGCGAATCTCTTTTCCCGGCACAACCGAAAGGTAGCGCTATGCTACTGTACACTATGGCCAAAAATGCCTCGTATGTTCTAGCTTAAATTCGGTACGTTACTTGCTTTGCAAGGTGCTTGCATGGCTATGCTTATTGCACCGCCTTGGTATGTCAAATGTGGACCAGCTATGCATGTTGCACCGCCCGTATCCCATACCCAAGGGGCTTGTTACCGCAGCCTTCCCCTTGAAGAGAAACAACGCCGCGGTCCATCGCTCATCATGGTTGTCCTGGCTGCTTTTCTTCACTCCTCCTTGAAGCAGACGCCAGGCATGCTTCACCCTTCATTTTGAGCTCCTGGAGGTGCTCTCCCATCGTGTCTCAAGCAAAAGCCGCAAATCTGTAAAGATTCTACTCGAGACATGGTCAAATCCAATTCGATTCCTGGGAATGGAGATCCATGTAACAGCCCGAGGATTCACGATTTCGCAGCGACCCTACATCCGAGAGCTTTTGCGATTACACGAGGTTGGTAGTCAGAGGTTGGATGTGGTGCCTGTGAACAAGGAGATCGGAAGCTTCGAGGCAACCCCCGACGAGGGCGTGTTTTCCCAGGAGGAGTTGAAATTCGCTCAGCAGTGTGCAGGTGAAATTCTATGGCTGAGTCAGCGGTCGAGACCAGATCTCGGATATGTTGCCTCCCTGTTATCCTCCTTGACAACAAAGGCTCCAAGGAGGGTGGCAGAAATCACCATGAAGGTACTTGGGTATCTGCAGCGTACAATGGAGCACGCTCTTTTCTTGGAGGCAGATTCCACTGGATTGGTGTCCTATGCTGACAGCTCGTTTGCGCCATCGGGATCGAGGTCACATACAGGGTGGGTGACAATGCTGTTTGGGGCCCCGATTAGTTGGAGGTCCAGTCGCCAGTCAACTACATCACTGTCAACTGGTGAAGCAGAGCTTAATGCAGCAGTGGAAGGAGCATTGGCGCTGCTGAGCTCACAGGCCCTGCTAACTGATGTGATTGAGGTCCCCATCGACTTGGTGTTGGAGACGGACTCAACTACGGCGCTGTCGCTGGCAGAAGGCTCGGGGTCGTGGAGGACAAGACACCTGAGAATCAAGGCGAACTGGTTGTACGAGCATATAAGGGCGGGACATCTGAAGATGGTTCATCGAAGTGGAGAGATTCAGCCTGCCGATGTTCTGACTAAGGCGATGCCCTCGACGCGAATGATGCAGCTCATGCAACTCTGGAATCTGAAAATGAGAGTGGAGGAGTTGGAAGATGAGCTAGGTGCAGAAATTGCGTCTACTACGAGCCCTGGCATGAGAGTGCTCCTAGCATTGATGATTTTGGCCCAGTCCATTACGCCAAGTAGCTCGGAAAGGCTTGGTCAAGACATTGCAACTCTGGATGAGGTGGAGCCGCTCAAGATTGATCGGGGGTTAGCAACGTGGATGGTTTTCTGGGGAATGGTGTTTTTAGCTGTGGCAGCCTGGGAGCTACTTAAGTGGATGGGATGGCAGGCATTTTTCCGCCTATCACCAGGAGCTTCGTCCAGAAGAATGCGTCGGCTGCAAAGGTTGAGGGATGCAACTGCGCAAGCAATAGCCGACGAGTTCATGAGACGTGCGCAGGAACCGGAGATGGAGCCAGAGCAAGTACCACATGTCGATTTTGGCCCGGCTTCGTCGTCAAGAAATGGAAGAAGGGACGAGGTGCAAGCTCATTCCAGGAGAACGAGCGTGGAAAGGCAGGTTCAAACTGCCCACCTGCTATTACAAGGCCAGATCCTCCGCCACAACAAGTGGTGATCCGATACCTATCGGAGCCGCCTCCGGACCACGTCTACATGTTGCCTGGAAGAACAACATACCATATCCATCGCCACTGCTATGCCTTCAGACACGCTGGCACTTGCAACGCTGAAGTCTTCCAGATCCGTTGAACAGCCTCCGACACTGCAGTGATTACATCAGGAAACGCTAAGATCAGGTAATCATCCACATAGATCACCAAAATCCCAATGGTGCATCCCTCTGTTTTAATTGCCCACCACGTCGGCTCAATGTGACCTTGGACCAGGACAATCTCCTTGTCGTTCAACGTGGTCTTCAGCTTCCTCATCTCGCCATCCCGGAATATTCCCCATAGCCGGGGTGATTCACGCAGTCCGTAAACCGCATGGGTTATACCCCATAGCTCTCCCTCTTCTGCCAGCTGAGCTTGGACCAAGGCTCGAGGGGGAATTGCAATCACGATTGGGGCATTCGGGATCTCATCCAATGGCGTTTGCAGAAAAGCTGAAATGACATCGAGCACTGCTGCAGACCAGCCATATCTGCTAGCTATGGACAACGCTGCACGTACAACCTCTGCAGGGGCTGCACCAGTGTATACCTCCAGGTCCGAATCTCCAGCCATATTGCCACAAATAACAGCCCTGACCTTCCGTTTGAACCCATCGACCAAAGGGGCGACGTCTGGAGGCTTCACCGTATACACCAGCTTCATTGGCAGCATTTGCACTCCGTCCTTTTTCATCCACACCTCCCGTAAAGGGTCATCTTTCTTGAGCCTGATCACCGCGTGGCCAATGGCATTCAGCTCCTTGATCATCGACGGCTTCCAACTTTCCAAGTTCTGGGCCACTTCAGAGGGGTGTATGGTATGAACCACAGCCAACGGCTCCTTCAATGAGCTCAGGAGCTCCTCTATGTTTCTTGTGTAGTTCACCTCGGTCTTCATCACCGCGATAGGGCTTGATGCCACAGCTTCCACTGACCTCACCATATGGATCTTCGCCTTCTTATCATCGAGAACGACGTACATCTCTTCCACCATACACTCCTCTGCGTCGCCGGGTTGGAATGTAACGTTGTTGCCATCGTTCACCATGTTGCCCTTTACACGCTCTCGGCTAAGCTTCCAGTCCACCACAAAGAGAAGAATTCCATCCGAAGTTTCCACTCTTTCTGTCCATCCACCTCCGCTCAATGCTTCCGGCTCCTCCTCAACAATGGATTTGTCCACCGCCTTCACTCTGAGGGCTCGAACAGCAACAGAGTCGTCGTAGGTCATGGTTGGTGGGCAAAAGCCCAAAGATGACAACTGCTCCCGCTCCGCTGACGAAATCCTCCCCACACGGGCCGGTGTATATCCAATCACCACAATGCGCTCACCAGGCTTGCCCTTCCAGGGTAACACAGCATGCCGCTTGCGGGGGTTAATCGATCTCACTTGTCCTTCACGAAGAGGTATTGCATTTCCGTAGTATGCCTTTCCCTTGTTGTCTAACATCTCAACGATGGACCCTGACACCACATCACCTTCACCCAGCTCCATCCACAGGTCTCCTCCTCGGCGTGGAAGCTTTACGGGATATAGGTAGTTCAGTGAGCCTGCTTCATTATGTGAATCGCGGTGAAGGGCCTTTTCTCCATCCAGGGAAACGTACACTGCTGCAAACTCCGCATCAGGCTCAGCATCTTGCAGGATTTTCACCAACAGTCGGGCCATCCAGGGTCGATCATATGTTGCTTTTGTTAAGCCCATAACCCCACCATGTCGAAACAGCCCATACTTGTTTGCAGCTCTAGGCAGTATTGAACATGCTTGCACAACCAACTCCTCCGCTTCTTCTCGGTTCCACTCTTCCAGCACACGCTCCACCTCCCCTTCCAGTTCTTTTTCTGCCAGCGACTGATCCATCTGTGCCATCGACGTCATTGAATGTATGCTTGTTTTGGCTCTCAATCGGCGTCGGGCACTTGCAGATTCCTCCGCTTCAACAGATTCTGCAGGGGGGCCTGGATCATGTAGTCCGGGACGAACATGGGCGGTATGGAGAAATCTTTCTCCCTCATTGTTGATGTACACTAGATGCCCCTGCCGCACTGCATTGGATAATCCCAAGTAGCTCCCCTCTTCCCATCTTGGCGCCAGATCGTCCATTTTTCCACCATGTCCAGTCCCAATGTAGGGCTTCTTCTTGATGAGGACCTTTGCGCCAAAAGGGGCAGCTAGTCGTGCTTCAAGGCCTAACACAGACGATCGCTGTGCCGTTGCTGCATAGTCCGCGGCATATGGCCACAATCTCTGAGGTAAACCTGAGCCCGCCAACAAGGTTCTGGCCCGCTGCTTGATCCACTTCACCGTGTTTTCAGCAGCACCATTGGACTGATGTTCACCTCCTTCACTGCTTGTCATTCTTATCCCCTGCTCCTTGATCCACTGCCGAGAATTTTTCGCGAAGAACTCCATCGACCGGTCGCAGTGAAACCTAAGGATTGGGATGTTATAGGATCGGGCATAGAGGACCACATCCTGGATTGCCTCCAACACCGTTGCACTCTTGTTGTCGTGCAAGCCCGTGGCGAAGATCAGATTCACCATGTCCGGCGGGTTCAGATCATCTCCGATGTCCTCCTTCGGCTTTTCACTCGCCAATTCTCCTTCTCTTTCCTCTTCATCCCCTTCTTCCTTTTGCGCTTCTAACTCACCAGCTGCTCTTGGAACCCCTTCACCGTCCTCCTCTAATCCATCATCAACGGGTACTGGTTCATGAAGAGGGTCATCACCTGGGACGTACTCCAAGCCTATTCCCCGACCGTCATCCACGAAGTCCTTGGGAACCCGAAGCTTGGCCACAAAGAGGTAACGGAATTTGGCAGGAGCTCTTCCTCTCCCATGTGAATCTAGACCATGTTCCTTTAGAGGTCCCGACAAATCTGCCGTCATCACAAAGGCTTCGGGGTGCTCCACTCTTGAATGCCTCCGCCCCGTAGCGCCTGCCTTCACACAGGTCATGCAGTCACGTCTGAATGGGAGATGCCCCCTTCTGACATGATCCGCCCATTGCTCCGCCGACATAGCCAGCATTCTTGGTACACTGCGGTGCACAATGATCGCCTTCACGATTGCTTCCACCAATCCAGGGCCCCATTTTGCTAAGTCCTTCGAGGATCCTCGCCATGGATCAAAATATCCCTCCGCCTTGATTCCATCCAAGGAGCTAAGCATGGTCAAATTGGTTCCCAATGAGGTTGGTTTCCTGGTGAAATGTCCCACCGCTCCTTGATCCACAGAGTACCTCGCCAAACCAGCTTCGTTGGCGTAGCCAATCCACAAGTCGCTCCTCCAAAAACTAACCACCTCGTCGTAGAGCTCATGATCCCATCGAAGAAATTCCCGTGGATCTTGGGGCTGTTCCAGCAAAAAGCTTACTTCTCGCTGTTGTTCAGGTCCTGGTTGAGCTATCACCCTACCCGCCGTGGACAAGGCATGGAGGACGTGTCCTTCACCGCAAGCTCCTCCTCAGCCGCTGGTTGCCCCTCCCAACCTCCATAGGGATAAGCATTTGTGCGAACAGGATTTGGTCCAGGCTTCTGGTAGCGGAGCATCGAGTAGGATCTGCAGGGCGGACCACCAATGACTCCAGCAATTTTTCCAGCTCGCGCAGCCCATTCCAAAGCTCTCCACACAGCAGGGTTAAGGATATCATGGGATGTTCCCCGTTCCAAATCCAACTCCAAGACCACGTAGCCGTTCCGCTCCAGGTACTTATATTCTTCCCTGGACTCCTTTCCCGCAAACAAGTGCACAATCCATTTATCCGATTCGTGCAACCTCCTCCTTGAGCGACGATTGAGGTGATGTAACCCTCGGAGTGCTTGCCAACCATTACGCTCGGGATATCCTTCCACCAGTCCCTGCTTTGCTCCCAGTGGCACATTCTGAAGGAATTGTGCTTCTCCAATTGCCTGTAGTGCATTTGCTGCTCTCTCGCCACGACAGTACTGGAGGAGGTGATCAAACCAGCTTCTCTCCAAGTGCAGCGTACACGTTCCCGGGTCTCGGTGGTGTTCTGCTTCAACAACCCAAGCTTCTCATTTTCCAAACGCGCAATCAGATTCAGGGCTTGGCATTCAGTAATCTCCGGGCAACCATTACGTACACGTAGATGATGTACATCCCCTTGATTTCCAACCAGCCGACACTTCTTCGCGCTCCACTCCAAGGTGTACCCCAACTGCTGGACTAAAGAACCAAGCGGAACAATGGGAGCAGTGGGAGCTTGGTAGCCCTCACCCGAGATAGGAACAAGGAGTGTTCCTCCTTCATTCATCCGAAGCTCCACACTTTCTCCTCCAGCAAGAGTCACCACAGTGGGTTCCGCCCTTTCCCATTCTTCTTGTGTCCATGCTCTACGAAGAGGGTGCGTGGCTCCAGAGTCCATCAGCGCGTACACATCCTCGGCGTCCAGGTACTCGTCTTCCTTTCTACCCAGTCTCATCACCTTCATGCTTGGGGCCTTTGGTTCCGGATCTGGGGCTGAAGTCTGAATCACCTGAGCCGCGGCCTTGAGGAGTGCCTCCATGGTCCACACCGGGTCGCCCTTAACAGTCGCAGCATCCTCGGAAGTGGTGGTCTCCTCAAAGGTCACCTTCTGAACCCTGGGTCCTGATGTTGACGAAGCCGATGGGGAAGAGTCCTTTGCTGCCATATCAGTGGACGCTCTCGGGGGCTTTGTTGGTCGGGAAGTAGGACAATCGCGCTGCCGGTGATCCTCACTTCCGCATTGGAGGCACTTTTTCGCCCTTTCGGGCCTGCTCAAGCCCCCCATATCGTGGCTGTACGGGCATTTTGCCTCGCCTGCAGCCCTGGCTTTTGAAGAAGTATCTGCATTGGGCCACCGTCTTCGTCGAAGTCGAGACTTCACCATGAGCATTGTCCCCTGCCTTAACTGCCCTCAACCTTGGCCCACCTTGGTCCACGTTCGTTGCAGCCATGTTCTCTATCTCCGCTTGCAAATGCTGATGGTACTTACGCACACTATCCAGGCTGGGCTGACCATCAATACGCAGCGAAGATCTCAACAGCTGGGTACGAAATGCTGCATCCGGGCTCTCCGTGATGAACTTCCCAGCGGTCACCGTCAGGGCCTTGGCTAAAACCGTGCAGTCTGGAAAGCTCATTCCCATATCTTGGCACCTTTGCATCGATCTAGGCCATGTTCGCAGCAAGGCAAGAGCTTGGCTTAGGTTCTCTGGCGATTGGGGCTCTTGTAGCGCGCGAAGGATTCTAGATCTCTCATGAGGCCCACCAGGCTGATACACCGTATGCAGTCGAAACAACATGGATATGATGCTGGTCGTAGCCCTCCGACTCACCAAATCCTCCTTTAACGACTCATCCACAGCCCCCAACACCAACGTACAGGCCCTGGCATTCACCCTCGTCCATTTGCCGGCGGTGAGGGGATCATCCTGTGCAGGCTGAACCTGAAGACGTTCCAAAGGCGTTGCAGCCAACCAGGTCATGTACGCGGAGCTCACCCTTTGCAAAACCTCCTGCCACCAAAGCCCTGATCCAGCTGAGAGATCCTGCATGCAAGTGCTTACCAGAGCTAACCAATCTTGCAGTTGTACCCCAGCCAAGTCTCCCTGCGGAGCCTTCAAAGTCGGAAGCGAAGCCACCGACGATTTGGCTTGCTCCGGACTTCCGTCCTCCTCTCGCTTCAATGACTGCACCTGAAGCTCCTGAAGTTGCTGCATTCCCTTCGCAATGGCCTCCAATATGTTCGGGGATCCACATGATGCGGTAGGAGGCGCTACAGGAGGTTGCACTTGACTGTCATCTCTTCTTGGAGGGGGTGATGGCAGTCTATAGGCAGGCTCAGCTTTTCTCACGCTCTGATTGCTCGCTTGCGCTGAACCAATTCGCCCCGAAATTTCCTCCCAGAGGGATCCAAGCAAATCTCTTCTGCCACCTTCCTTAGCTCCAGCATGACCATCCCCCAGGTGCTCATTTCTCTCCATCCCGCTACTCGGCCCGGGTCTATGTTCATCGGCTACACAGGATGTAGGTTCTTCATCGCGCGGTCGCTGTAGATGAGGTTCTCGTGGCTCCGGCGTTCCTTTGGAGTTCTCTGCCTCCACCAGCAACCTCTGTAGTCGGGCAGTTTCTGCCTCTGATTGTCGTAGCCGATCTAGAAGACCTCCAAGCTGTCGCTGAACCTCGGCCTGGATGGCCTCTGCGGGTATGCTGGACGAGCTCGGGGGCGTGGGAGGTCTTGGGATGGCAGTAGCAACCTTCCCAGGTGTTCTTGCACCCGCAATCAATCTCGGGTCTCCCATTGGCTGGGACACGCCGCCACCACAATGTCGGTCCAACAGGGGCGATGGCATAGGACTTGGCATCCATGCTGTAGGTATCTGTGGCGGTCTGAAAAATCCAGATAACCGTGACCTGGACGGCGAGGTGGTCAACACTCGCGGGACCTCGGTGAGCTTCGCGATTTATCTCGACTGGGAAAAGTAAATGGACACCGCCGAGCCCGCGAATGAGCAGCCTTGGAGGAGCCTGAGCGGCCTTCGGAGGAGCCCGCGGAGGAGCGGCCTTCGGAAGAACCCAAACCGGAGCCGAAGAGGCGCGGGCGTCCGCCGGGAGCAAAGGACAAGGCTCCCCGGAAGCCCAGGGTGCCGCCGGCAGCTGGGCGTAGTGCAGTGTGCCCCCCGAGACGTCGTGCCAAAATAGGTAGCTGCCCCGGTCCGTGGAGAGGAAGGCGTCGGCCACGCGGATCTTGTGCACCGCCAGCTTCGCGCCCGAGTCGATGTGCAGCGTCTCGCCTAGGTCGATCTCGAAATCGCTGTCGGTGCCCGCCACGCGTTTCCGGGAGTCGATGTAGACTGTGGTGGACATGGGGACCCTTTTCCTTAAGCGGCGGAGAAACCGCGTGGGGCCTGCCGAGAACTCGCTGGCGTTGGAGCTGTCGGAGGTTTGCCTGGGGCGCTCCGGGGGTGGCCACCGGCTGGGGTCGTACACGTTGTTGCTGCTCGTGCGCGCAGGTAGCGGAGCGTGATGGGGCCGTGGAGGTTAACGAAGTGTCCTTCATCCGTGCGGCTGTGGAGGACGTGGCCCACGCCGCGGTCCACGATGATCTTCGCGATGATGTCGGAGCCCAGGGGGCCGAGGATGTGCTCGCGCGCGGCGAGGGCGGGGCACCTGAGGTACAGGGACTCGTAGGGGGCCATCTGAACGAAGGAAAAAATCTGTTGGCCACCCGAGATGAAGCTGGGGCCAAGCAAATGGTTGATGCTCTCGGGCCTGGTGGACGACACGCCCGGCGGGTAGCCCGGGCCGTTGGGGAAGGTGAGCCTGAGCTCCTGGTTGTTGAGGACGATTCGATTCCCGTCGTAGGCGACCACACTTCCGGTTCTGGTCCACTCACAGATCTGGCCGCCTGAAAATCACTCCATGCCGCCCTCATTGACCGAGGCGTCAGAAAACCAGCTGACGTCTGGTCCCGGTTGTCCCGACTTCCGCTACCCTGCTCCACAAAGGTGTCCTCTGGCACATGAGCTCCTCGCTGTGCTGTCTGCTGGCACACGGGACCAACTTCGCCGTCGATGTCTTGCACATCACCTTGGGCTCCAGCTCCTGTCCCCATACTAGCAGCTTCCGAGGTCTCTGGCACCATTCCAGACTTCCTTTCACTTCCAAAAGCAGAAATATCAAGATCGCTTCTCATCTGGGCAGCTGGGCCTCCGCTCTGCACAGCTCCATAGGTGCGATCACCTTGTCTTTCCTGCTCTGTACTCACATGCACTGATGCCCCGTTCATCTGCGGAGCTGCTTTGGCAATCACAGGATCCTCTAGCCTTGCGCCGCTCGTCGCGCGTTCTGCCACAGCAGCGTAGATTGGGCGACCATAACCTGTTGAAATGCAGATTGATCTGTCTGCTGATGGCCCATGGAACCAGCCCCCTGCATGAACTCCATGGCTTCGAATTGCGAATCTCTTTTCCCGGCACAACCGAAAGGTAGCGCTATGCTACTGTACACTATGGCCAAAAAATGCCTCGTATGTTCTAGCTTAAATTCGGTACGTTACTTGCTTTGCAAGGTGCTTGCATGGCTATGCTTATTGCACCGCCTTGGTATGTCAAATGTGGACCAGCTATGCATGTTGCACCGCCCGTGTCCCATACCCAAGGGGCTTGTTACCGCAGCCTTCCCCTTGAAGAGAAACAACGCCGCGGTCCATCGCTCATCATGGTTGTCCTGGCTGCTTTTCTTCACTAACCCTAAACCCTTAATCCTAAACCCTAAACTCCAAACCCTAAACCCTAAACTCTGCTCGGCGGTCTCATTGCAGGCATCTCTGCGGGTAGGCACTCCAGGCATGCTCCGCGGCACTCTCTGCGCGCTTCTCTGCTGTTGGGGATACTCCACGCGGTCCACGCGAATCTCAAGGGGCGGGATGCTCTGCAGGCTTCGCGGGGTGGGCAACACACAACAACACACAAAGGCGACCCATTCTCAGGACATCTCGGGAAACACCCCGTGCACACGCCCAGACGCATGGAAATTTAGGGAGGGAAACGCAAGCTCCCAACATCGCACCAAGGCGTGCCCCACAGCCAGGACCGTCGAAACCCAAGCACACTCCTAGGGAGAAACACAGAGCCCAGGAAACCGAACGAGCCAATGGGCCACAATAGGCGCCACAGAGGGACGGCCCAAGGAAGAAGGAAGAAGACGAAAAAATCCCAAGCACACACACACACACACACACACACACACACGGAGAAGGAGACTGAGGAAAGTAAGCGAGAGCCAATAGTGCCCAAAATATCTGCAAATTGCTGCAATGACTCATAATGACTCTCTCGGAGCCCTGAGATGCTGCGCGGTTGAGAAGGTGGACGGTCACATTTGCGGCCATCATGCGGTCACTACTGGTCACCTACCTTTTGATGTGGGGCTCGATTTCGGCCCACACGGCGAAGATTTCACTCAGTCCATAGGTCCATAGTAGGTATGAGTTCAAAATTTTCTTTGACAGTTCTGAGAGAGAGAGAGAGAGAGAGAGAGAGAGAGAGAGAGAGAGAGAGAGAGAAAGCTGCGCTCAGAGGTGCCCGTGACCCCGCACAACATCACACAACAGTTCCTTTTTTTTATGGGAACATTTCGTATGACCAGCCAGCTCTCAGCACATCTCAGCACACGCGAACCTCTTGTGTTGAGCTGGGAGGTGCATCCAACCACCTGCGACTCCCAACATGTTGTGCATTGGCTTTGCAGTGAACTTCGCAGCGCCTGCTTAGAATCTGCTTGCGCGTGCCTTCTTTTTGCAGCCCTCTGGCAGCTCTTCCGGATTCGCTCTCTCGGCAGATCACATCCGCCCCCCTGCCACCACCCCCACAACGGCCCCGCATTGCATTTTCAAAGCAGTGGCCCGCATCCCAACAACCGCTCACCGCTCTCACAGCCCACGCCGGCCCTACCCCTCTCACTCTCTCACTGCCGCTCCCCAGACCGGCTCCGCCCACCGCCGACGCAATGAGTCCTGAATGTCACATCCTGCGAGGGAGATCACTTTTACGATGCCCCCCCTCCGCCACCGCCCCAGCTGCTCTCAGCTTTCCACTTGCTGATTTCTTGGATTTCATCATGGGACGCTAGGCCTAACTTCGGCCCCGAGCGTCGAAAGACGAGCTTTTTAGGCGCTCCGTCGTGTCGCGGACCCCCTCTCACCCCCTTCTTTTATGGATCAGCGTGTGCGGGGTGGCCGGGAGACGTCGTAAAAACCGAATGCTTTTTCGGGCTTTCGCGCCAGGCCCGAGCCCATAACAGCTTCAAGGTTGTGCCACAAACGCGTTCTGCGACGCTTAGGGGCGCCGCCGATACTTGCTTTTTGGGTGCTGTACAACATAGAAGAACAACGTGTTTGGGAGTCCGTTCCCGTCTGAACCCGACGTCCATGCCGCTGATGCTCATGACTCGGGTGTACACGAGCGAGCGCAAGCGTGCGCAAGCGTGCGCAAGCGTGCAAGGGCATCATGAGCATCTCCATGCAACGAGAGCGATCGAAGAGAACCTTCTCTCGAAGATCCGCCTCTCCGCTGAGAAAAAGCCCCCTCTCTCGCGAATCGAGACGGATACTGAGGCATCGCTCCACTCGACCAACGAGAACTCTCTCTTTTTTCAATTTTGTGTCAAGACTGACTCTTTCTAACATTTCTGATTTCTCTCAGGCTGCGGCGGATCACTTGGGACCAGCTCCAGCTCGAGCTCCATGGGATGCCTGCCTTTGAGAAGAGACCTCACACTGTCAGAGAACGAAGTTGCGCAAAAAAGAAGCGCAAAAAGGAAAGCGCAAAAAAAGAAGCGCAAAAAAGAAGCGACTAATTTTGAAAGGCTCAGGGCTCAGGAAGCTTCAGACTTTCTTTGCCAGGTGGCAGCGAACAAGACTGCCGACCAGGCCTGCAGGAGGTATCGAGGAATGTGGAATACAATATATGCAACATGGAATGCCGCACAGATAATTTCAAAATCCGCGGAGGCCTCGGCCGAAGGTGTCTAGGTTGTGAGAACAGGCACCCCCTCCAAATCCTGCCCCCAAGCTCAAAGCCACATGTCGGCCCCCTTTTTTGCCTGGCATGGGTAAACGGTAACCGGGTAAGCCCCCATAGGCGACCGGGATCTGAAAGCGGACGATTGGCCGGGACCAGGGCAGCCCCCCCACCCTTGGATTTCGTGAGATACAGCAGGGACCACCACTTCGCAGATGCGGGTGTTTGGGCTAGCGCACAACAGAAGTGGGCCCTTTGTCTGGCAGCCCTGCGCGGCGGACGGCGGAGGCCCACCCCCCGACCCCTTCTACGTCTTCTACGTCGGGGCGTGGCGTTTGTGGGCATAGGTCCAAGTTGAGGGTTTCGGGTTTCCTCACCTTTTTTATCCCCTCCCCAACTTGAGCCCGTTTATGCGGCCTTTGCCCCTCTCCGGGAACTGCATTGGGCATCATTGGGCCAGGCCGAGGCGGGTCGCGTAGCATTAAAACTACAAGGGGGACCCCCCCAAAGACGTGATCCGAAGCTGCGAAAGTCCCGGGCTGCTTCACGAGGTGTGCGCTGCCCAGGCTCTGAAGCACCTTCAATGCTTCAAAGCGACTTTAACTCAGATTCTCAGAAAAGAAACACTCAGCCTTCACTCAGCTGTACTCTCAGAACGCGTTTCAGTCTTCTTTCGGTCTTCTTCTTCCCCTCGTATCTCAGCTTCTCATCCCCTCACCTCCATCTTCAGAGAGTCAATGTCTCCGCATGGGACTCGGAATTGCTTCCCAGCCTCCAGACGCCTCTCACAATGAGAACACGCGCATGCTTGTGAACTTGCAGATGCTCGGCAAGGCACAAAGCCGCATCCAGCAATGATTCGAAAGTGCGGAAAGCAGCAAGAAATTGCCAACCTCAGCACCTTCTGGCCACCATTGCCGATGCTCAAGTAGCTCCTGACGGAAGACTCATTCAGCGACGCAGCCCTGACCTCAAGCCAGAAAGACGTAGCTGATGCAGTCCCGACTGGTATTCCCTCGAGGCGTTGGACGATGATCTGCATGGCCGAAGCAGATCAGAACCAACCCAGCGCAGCGTCTGAGCCAAACGGCCAAAGCAGTGAGGTCAAAAAGCACTGTTTTTCAAAACAAGCAGCCCAGCCAACGCTAGAGTCAACAACCGTTCAAGACCTTTGAGACCCCTGTGCTTGGAGGCGACACCAATAAATAGGCGACCTTCCCCCACTATTTTCTGGAGCAGCAAAAGCCGGTGGCGCTAGTGACATGCCGCGCGTTGCGTCCGAATTCAATGCTACATTGCTACATTGCTACATTGCTACATTGCTGCACTGCATGCAGCATTCGCCACTCTTCGTACCAAGACACTTCAGGAAGTCCTCCAGCATGTCCGTTTCGAGATGTTAGAGCTCCTCTTTTGCCTCGCTTTTGCATGGTTTTGCCAAAGCAGATTCGCGAGATTTCGCGAGGCCATTGATTTACCTCCAGGACTCTTGGGCCGCCACTGCTCGAGGGCCGGAAAAATACCTCAGCGCCTGAGCTCGCTGCGCAAATAAAAATCTGCACTTCGGGTGTCTGGGCCCGCACTACAGAGAGGATTTCATGCCCAGTGAGGACGTGTTGAGCGTTGTTGACAAACAAAAAAGATCTCTAAACCAAGAAATGCACGCAGCCTGCACGTAGCTTACGGCTCATGCGCTTTCATGTCTTTGCAGGCCATTTGCCTTGTCACACACACTGTGCGACCCGCCTCTTTCAACTCCCTCCTTGTGCTCAGTATGCGTGGAAGTGCCTTATGGGCTGGAGCGAAGAAGCACAGCTCTCTTAGACTCTACACTTTAGACGGAAGGAAGCTACCACAGTTCTTTCTTCGGCCTCCTTGGCGCCCTTGGATTCCAACAGCTCCAGCAAGTCGGACAGCATCTCGTGGAGAGCGCCGCCTGAAGGAGAGACTGAAAAGGGAACAGGGACATTTGCATCTGTTGAGAGCTGTTGTCTTCGGTCACCCGAGGGCAGAAGCTCCCCGAAGTCCCTGTGAACAAATTTGGCGTCTGGTCTCCTTCCCCCCCCTTCCCAACCATTCCCCCCAACTCAGAAGCTTGTGCTCTCCCTCCCCCTGTTGGACAGTTGCGGGCTATGTCACAATGGTGTAACACACTTAATTGAGAGCACGCAACACAGATGTCAAATGGACACTGAAACTTTTTTGGCAAGATCATCCACCGGTTCGAGCGCGGGCAACAGTGCGAGCGCTGCACTGAGTAGGATGCTCTGCCAATGCTGGGCTTTCTTCACAAAGCTAAGGGATGCAGGAGTCTGCAGGATAGGTCGGATAGGTGCACCGAGTTTCGGCCCTGCAGGCGGGATGGGAGCCGAGGAGGCCATCCAACTGAAGCCGTTGACTGAACTCGACCAGTCTCACGTCTAG